ATACATACATACACACACACACACACACACATACACACACACACACATGTATATATATATATACCTTTCGATCGTTTGGTGAACCCAGTAGTACGATGACTCTCAGTTGTCGTGTACTTTATACTTCTTGATCACACCTCATTGGTGTCTATAATTTACACTGCTTATTTCACTTGCACTATTCCCATTTCTAATTCATCAACTCGTGATTGACAACTTTTTCACTTCTAAAATTTTGTTAGATGGTCGCTGGAGTCAATAGCGTAGGAGGGATTTCGCCACAGGTGACCCATTGTTCTACTCTTACCGTATCATCAGATGTCAACGAAAGCGGGAAACTTCTTATAGCGCGCGATATTACGCCTGCATACGTTCCTAGTCAGCATGTTACTTCTCAGGTGCACTCTACTACTCAACAGCAACGCACGCTACCAGTATCGGAGGGCTCAGTGGCGCAGTCAACTGTAGCAGGAGAGGTGCCCTCGGATACGCCCCACACACAACTAGTACATTCGCAGAAGGTCTGTGTGCAGTTCCCGACCGGGACAGATAAAGGAACGTCAGTTGAAACTGAGCAGCCAGCGCCAGCGCAAAGGCAGCAACCTGGATATGAGTATGCGGACACAACGGTACATGCACAGGGCCATGTACACACGCAGATGGATGGAAGCTCACAACCGGTTATGGACAGCTATGTAGATACCATGTCGAAGCCACTCACATACACAGGCGCTGGTGTGCATGCTCAGGACACAAATGTGCAGCAGGGGACACTCGGGCAAACTCATACACAACTACAAATACAAGCACAAGCACAAGCACAAGCACAAGCCCAAACCCAAGCCCAAGCACAAGCCCAATCGCAGTCACAGGCACAACAACAAGCACCCCCACCGACACGGAAACGTGCCACTATCAGTGTAACCAAGCGTATCAATTCCAGGAACAGTGTGAGTGCCAACGTAGACAGGGATACAGGCAATCGCGGGAGACATCAGCACAGTATTGCAAGTACCACCGGTATCACTCAGCCAAGCGCTGCGACCAGCATAAGTATACACACGCACACAAACAATGGCGTAAACATGCATACACACCCGCACACACACACACACACACACACGCACACGCACACACAAACACACACGCACACGAGGAGCAGCCTCACAGAGGTACCTCCGAGAGTGAATGGTGTAGAGAATAGCAAACCTGTCCCAATGGTTCCGACGGGAAAGCCGGCGCTGTCTGCCTTGGAATACGAGAGTGACGATCCGAAGTTGGTGGATCATTCTGAGTGGGGGTTCGGATACGGGATATCGGACAATGGCGACTTAACTGGAGTGGAGAGTGATGGCGGACTTAGCACGCCTATGACGGCCATGACCAAAGAGGAGCTGCTAGAGCGTCGTGTCAAAGTCTTCAATAGGGTTTGTGGGTTGAACTTGTGCGTATGTATAGAGTATGCGTATGCGTATGATGCTTGTGTGTGAGCATGTAGCGCATGTGTACAATTTAAAATGATGTGTGCCCTCTGTGTGATTGCTTGTGCATTGTACGTGCATGTTGAGGTTGGGTTTGCAAGCTGTGGAGTGAATGAGTGAGGTCGGTTGTGCCCAACGCTGATTCATTCGTGACTGGAATGCGGAGACAAGAGGATTGTAAAAGTATTACTGCGTTTGAAATCTCTCGGTATGCCTGTCATGGACACATGGGGCCTTTATACAGGACTGATCCAATGGCAATGACATATACGATAGAAGAAAATTTCGCTAGTGAACGTACCATCTTTTCTTTCCGAGCACTGTGCACAACTTATACGCGTATTTACAGGAGTCGATAGCTCAGGAATAATTTGCATTGATCATCTTTACCCACGGAATGCTCTATAAGTATCTGCTCTTGAATATTCTCTTAATTTATTGCGTATTTTGTCTCCACCCCACAGCTCAAGGAACTATACGCAAATCAGATCGAGCGAGTACAACATCTGTACCACAAAGAGTACTTTCGATGGGCTGAGGGTGATTCTGACGACGAGATTCAATACGACGACCGTGAGACTAAAGTCGTACCACATACAGGTTCTCATGCGGAAGCACTCTCGAACGGACAACCGCGTGACGGTACTGACAATACAGGAGAACGGAAGGAATGTAGTAGGAAAAGGAAGTTGGAAGACAATATACGAAGGTATGAGCGAGTGTTGGGTTTGCACAGAGTGTTGGTTTTCGTATAACTCTTCTACAATATAACCACTACCGGCTACCACATTTATATCACTTCCAAGTCAGTCAATTGATTGCAAAATCAGAAATTAAGGTTACAAAGCTCGCTTTCACTTCTTTAGAGCCTGCTTCTGCGATTTGTTTTCGATTTTTTTTGCAACTTCTTTAATCTGATACACTTCTGCGGACACACAGTTATAAACGTCGACGCGGAGTTCAAGCACAGCTCGAGATGCAACGACAGATGCTCAATGAGGTGCGTGTGGGCGCTCCGGTTACTTGTGCCTTTTCCACTGTTTGCACAACCGAGAACATACCTACACTTGCCAATACACCAAGTCATGCGGGTACGAGTGGGGATACACATGTAGCACACTCACAACTTGCTGCACCGAGATACTACACGACAGAGAAGGTGCACAAGTACCCGCACGCTACGAAGGTCAAGTGCACGCGCGCACCTATCACTGCCAGCCGCTACTGTAAGCGGCACATCGCATACGACACCAAGCAAGTGTTGTATGTGCAGTGTGGATTTGACACTTCTAAAGACGTGCTTTCGCGCTACGATGCCATGTGCGAGGGCGTAGAGAAGCTTCCTTTGTGTGACAGGCCTGTGCTGCGTTTCCCTGAAGGCCAACGGTGTGCTGCGCATGCACGAGCGTTTGATTTTCCGCTAAAGTCGGGGGATGAGAGTGAGGGCAAGCACACGGCTGGTGGCGGAGAAACGAGGAGAGATGATTGTACAGAAAACAGTGCTAATACTAATGGCGGGGATACGAGCAATGGTGTTAGTTCTAAAGACGAAGCTGGTGATATAGGTGGTGGTGGCAGCAAGAATACCGATACCGGAGACCGTCAAATTACGGAGAAAAGCGGTGCTAGGGATGCCAATACTTTAGGCGAGGGTAGCACTCTACACTATGAGGGAGAAAAACCCACTATCAAAAACAGCGCTATGAGTGAGCCGGTGGTTGTTACGACTGTGAGTGCTGACAGGGGTATGTCTGTGAAGAGATGTGATGAGAATAGCGAGACCACACACATTGTGGGTGGTGAACGTAGTAACAGTATGGCCTCTGCTGTGACGAACACAATCACGACCACCGGTGATGCGGAGAAGGTTGGTACAACCAGGGATTCAAGTAGGAGTGGCGGAATTGTTTCTGTTGTGAATACTGTTGTAGACGAGCAAAGCACGCAGGTGGCCCATAATCTTGCTAGTGCGAGTGCGAACACCCGCCAGACAATCACAAGCAGCACTAATGGGTGTGGCGCAAGCAACTATAAGCCTGTTGTCGCAAGTACCGCAAGTCTTGCAAATGATTGTACAACGGGAGCTGACTCAAGCGCATACAGTGCTGTTATTTCAAGTAACGACGCAGTCTGCGTGACCTCGCGTGAGGACGAAGGGAATGTGAGAAGAGTGTATTCAATAAGTTCTGAGAGATCCACAAGAATTTCCAGAACGACCGAATGCAGCACTGATATGGCAGAGGATACAGAAAGCGCTAATAAGAGAACACTAGAGCCCGAGAGGTTGGTGGGAGGAGTAGGCCACGCGTCCGGTGTGGGTCTGCAATTGACAGTGGCTGGCACCCGAGAGAATGTGACGCCTGGGTGAGCGAGTATAGGATAAAGATATACTAATAAAATTAAAAATACATATATAGTAATAAGCAGAATACATACATGTACTCAAAGTATTATGGAGCAGCTAAATCAGTGTTTTGAAAAGATTGACTCACTCTTATCACATATCTGCTGCGTGACTGCTACTGTATGTACTGAGTGTAGGTATCTACCTATATACATATATACATATAACTCTATAGTAGTGATGTATTCTAATGGTGTGGTTTATGTGAGGAGGTTAGTCCTTATCCGCATGTTTGCTCTGGAACTCCCACTAGTTGTGATTGGCATTGTGAATATGAGACAATATTGTCGGCGAGAAAAGCCAACTATATATTATTAACAGACTTTACCGGCAGCCGACATGCGTTTTTGCAGAGTTTGGTGATCTATATCCACATATCTGCTGTGTAATTTATATTGACCGTGCCTGGCATTTGGGTGTGACGACCGGGTAGCTGAGATAAGACATGTACGCCAATAGTGCTACAAGACAGCTATAATACTCCTCTCACGCAGCTTTTTCTGTAAAAGAATTGATAATTTCTGAGCTCCTTGATCAAGGTTGCACGAGCACCGCACGGTAGAGCAGACCTGAACCCCAGAGGCACAAAGCATGCTGTATGCGCGCTGATAGAGCCGTTAAATCTAAACTCTTTCCATTACCTCCGGTCTCACACAATATAGGCCGTGTTGGACTGTGGAGTACTTCAGCAGTCATTCCGGGTGATAAATAAAAATTCACGTATGTGGTGAATCCAGAATCGCCCCTTTTCTATTTATAGAACATATGTAGACGGAATGAACTGGATTTCGGTACAAGGGGCGTACCGAATAGCTAGGGTTCTACACAATGTCGGGAACGAATCCAGGTAATATACATGAATATGGCACAGCTGGTGGAACCTTCTATACTCACAATGGAAAAATTAGCTATACACCCAACCGCGCAAGGGACAAGTGAAACTAAGTTCCATATTCGAATTGCTGCGAAATTACGACTGCTGACAGGGGGATACAACGATTGTTCGGATTCGATGGCATAGAAACCTTTTGCAAGACACACCGAGGCTTCCCTGCACTGAGATAAACACTCAGACACCGCTGACAATGATAAATCCATTTCGCTTGTATAGGGGTGCAAGGGGTGTCAGAAAGTGTCCCTGATAGTAACTATACCAATCCACTCAATTATTTTCAGTGTATTAGACAACTGCGTACGTAAAGAAAGGCACTGTACCCCACAGATTCAGATATCTGGATGATCACTGGCAAATTTCTATTGTTATAAATAAAGGGCATATGATCACTGTCCAGGTGCGACCCCCGTAACGCACTACAGAAGAGTTCAGAATGAAATATCCTGTTTTTGACGGCAGATATGCCTTGATAGCGGCATACAATACAATATATGCGCATATACATGTGGACGTATTGTCACTGAACTGTCGAGCATATATATGTGTGCCTCTTTATCACTGTACTCTCGCCACGTGCAGAGGAATCCTCGCGCACTTATCGAACGGTGTAACATACTGCAACCCCAGCGTGGGCATCGAATAACACCCGGCTGGTATACCTACGTCCGCTAGTATCACCTGTCCTGCTTTTGCTGAAGATAGTCCCGCTTTAGGCAGAGCCAATGTCATAGTCCACGTACTATGTATGCACTCGCCTGCGGACTCACCAGTGGTGCTGTCTAGACCTGAGGGTGTGTCTAGCGAGAGTACAGGGGCCTCCATTTTGTTCGCCCATTGAATCAACTCCATCGCTGTGCCTGTAGGGGCTCCCTGCAGATCCCAGCATGATGACGAAGTATTGAACTGTGTTATATACTGCGTCCCGTATTTTTAAGGGCAAGATGTTATCCATTTTATTAAGATCAATATATAAGTTGAGTGTAAATTTGAGATTGATGCATTTGTTCCCAAATTTGAAAGTCCTTCGTGGACGAAACAAGCACAATTTAAATAACATAAACATTCCCCCCCATTTTTGCAGTTCTGCACTTAAACCATGACACGCTGATATGTTATTCCTATGCTGCAGCGGGCATGGCTAGAAACTGCAGCTTTATTATCGAGTCAATGAGATATCGTAGTGATCGGACCAACCGGACAGCCAGGGCTTACTAACCGCATTCTTTTCTTCATTTCGAGATCATTTACCATACACAAATTTGCACCAGGTTATTATGGATTGGTGTTACTAAGGAGAGATACATACTTGGATCACGGACTCGAATATTGATGTGCCGATGGAGTGCGATTACAAACAAATTTGATGAAGAGACAAAATCTAATATCTGTCAGCGTCATCAGGCACGCAAAATTATGTGCGCATACGAGCGACACACAGTAGATCACGAAATCCAATGTATAATGAACATACTTGCAACACACCAAGGCCGCAGATACATTCCTCCACCAAATACGTACTGTCACAGCAATACGTAGTCTATGCAATTAATCTTGCACAAATACTCGCCTAGCAGTGTGAGCACCGAGCAATACCTGTACATTGTAATCTAGCAAAGCATCGACGATAAGTTTAATCCCCCGCCCTTTGCTCTTGATCAATTTGTCTGATCCGTATTCGAAACCGGAGGTGTGGCTGAAACACTTCCGCTGCCTCCTCACCAAGTCCTGTGCGTGTGGAATATATCAGACAATAAGGTCTTGTGTGGAAAAATAAATACTGTTGGCATCTCTTGCTGGTCGGATTGCCGAGGCAATGCATGGATTCGGAGATATGTATGTCGAACGACTTCTCACGGTCGTCAGTTTTGCGCGTTAATTTGTGTTATGGGTGGAAGCCAATGTATGTCCATATTCTGTACTAGTCAATTTCTAGGGCAACTTATGCCATAACAAAGTCGATGTGTGACTACGTGTGAAGCGAAATCAACAGACATAATATGCAATGTGCTAGTGTGAGAGTCTCACCACGGTATATCTATGTCTAGTGTACGGAGTGATGTACTTAAGATGTGAATATCATTGTGATAAAGCCTCACCACGGCATATCTTTGACTAATATATGGAGTGATGTACTTAAGGTGTAAATACCATTGTGTTGAGGCTTCCAACATTATTGGGTCGAAGCGCAATATATGCAAAGTGCAAATATGTACATTTTACCTATGTTTAAAGTACAAGGAGCGTGACTGGACGTTATGTAGTTTCCCATGTTACACGGATTTGATAAGCAACACTTTGACAAACCTCGCGAAGAAGAAACATGGTTATAATAATTTACTTAATACTATCTCAGCGGGAAATAATAAGTTGCGGTGTTAGTGTACAATAAAGCAATGATAATTGCAGTGAAAACGGTATGCAAGTTTGCGATCGGATCGACAGGAAAATGAACGCAATCATGCATCTATAACATATCTACCAAAGACATCTTCAGTATGGGTTCATAATTTTGCAATTTCGCATAAAACCATATCTCGGCATTTATATATATATATAAACAAATATGCACATAGTATATATATATATATATATATATATATATATATATATATATATATATATATATATATATATATATATATATA